TCAAGCAATTCCCTGTCCTTCTTGAACTGAGGGGCCCAGAACTGGACACAATACTCCAGATATGGTCTCACCAGGGCAGAGTAGAGGGGGAGGAGAACCTCTCTTGACCTACTCACCACCCCCCTTCTGATACACCCCAGGATGCCATTGGCCTTCTTGGCTGCAAGGGCACATTGCTGGTTCATGGTCATCCTGCTGTCTACCAGGGACCCCCAGGTCCCTTTCCCTTTTGCTGCTCCCCAACAGGTCAGTCTCCAACCTATACTGGTACATGGGGTTGTTCTTCCCCAGATGCAAGACTATACACTTGCCCTTGTTGAATTTCATTAAATTTCTCCCCACCCAACTCTCCAGCCTGTCCAGGTCTCGCTGAATGGCAGCACAGCCCTCTGGAGTGTCAGCCACTCCTCCCAGTTTTGTGTCATCAGCAAAGTTGCTGACAGTGCACTCTGTTCCCTTGTCCAGGTCATTGATGAATATATCAAATAGTGCTGGTCCCAGTACTGACCCCTGGGGGACCCCACTAGATACGGGCCTCCAACTGGACTCTGTTCCATTGACCACAACTCTGACTTCTTTCCTTCAACCAGTTCACAATCCATCTCACTACCCAATCATCCAGACCACACTTCCTCAGTTTAGCTGCAACGATGCTATGGGAGACGGTGTCAAATGCATTACTGAAATCATGCACTACCCTACCATCATCTATTCACCTGGCTATGTCCTCATAAAAGGCTGTCAGGCTGGTCAGACATGACTTCCCCTTGGCGAAACTGTGCTGACTGCTCCTAATGACCCTCTTCTTTTATCCTTGATATGTCAGGAGACAGCACTAAGGATAAGGTGTTCCATCACCTTTCCAGGGATGGAGGTGAGGCTGACTGGTCTGTAGTTACCTGGGTCCTCCTCCTTGCCCTTTTTGAAGACTGCAGTGACATTTGTTTTCATCCAGTCGTCAGGCACCTCTCCTGTTGCCCACAACTTACCAAAGATGATGGAGAGTGGCCTAGCAATGACTTCTGCCAGCTCCCTCAGCACTCGTGGGTGCATCTCATCAGGACCCATGGATTTATGATCTGTGTGAGGAATGGGGAAATGCAATGTGAGGAATGGCTTGATATACAAATAATGGGCTCTTCTGATGTTGGAAGTATACGATCATTGGCTGAAAATTGCCCTAACATGGATTCACAAGCAAATTTGGAAATGAGGCTTTATTTAGTATTTTTAGATTGATGTGGATAGCTTATAGTCACATTTAATAGACTCAGCCAATTGGGACATAGAACAAACCAGTTTTTTGTGTTTGAGAAACGAGGATTCAGAAACCAAATAGGTCAGAGCTCAGTTCAGTAACAAAATATATCCATGATGTTCTGAACACATGCTTAAGTATTATTTTGAAATATAAAATGCTGTCTATGGGGTGTGTGTGTGCACATATATGCACAATGTAGTTGTTTTGAATTTCTGAGGAACTTGGTGTGTGTGTGTGTGTGTCTGCTCCACCTGGTTTCTGTTTCATGTTTGTGTGTCTTTATTTTGTGTGTATTCTGGACATAGTCATCTCTGAATGTTACAGTGTACAAGACATTCTAGCTCTTCTGAATTTGCCTCACTTAGTTGTGCTTTTTTTTTGTTTGTCCTCCTTGCTGGTTACTTTTAAAGTATTGGACAAGTCCAATTTATCTTTATTTTAGGTTGAGTTTTCTAACTTCTCAAGGCGAAAGATAGTAGAAAAGGAACATGTACATACGATGAACTCTTAATACTAAAATATTACAGCTTCCCATCACTGACAAATTGGATTCTGATATGAAAGTTGTATTTCCCCCCCC